TTGATTCTCTTATGTCTTGAACCCTGGCCAGTTATCTGAAACCAAGCAGTACACGTCTCCAGATCACTAGTACCAAATAAATTTGGGGGCATAACAGGTTTATTGAGAAATAATTAACACACCATGCAATTCATTCATTTAAAATATACAATTCATTGACTTTCACTATTTTCAGAGTTACACAATCATCATTACAATCAAGTTTAGAACATTTTCATCACCCTATAAAGAAACCTCACATCATTTAGCCATCTTTGCTGGTTTCCCCTTCCTCCCTCAGCCCTAGGGAACCACCCACCTTCTTTGTATAGATTTTCCTATGAGCCCCTGAAATAAAAAGCAAGTGGTCTACTGTGACTGGCTTATTTTACTTAGCATAATTTTTCATGCTGCATCTGTGCTGTAGCAGCTATTGAAGCAGGGTTTTTGCTCCTTAGTTCAGCTAAGTCCGGGTTCTTGTCTCCCGATCAGAAAAAAATTAGGCACGTGAACACATTGAAGGATGAGGAGGACAAAATTTATTAAGTGAAAGGAAAGCTCTCAGCAAAAAGAGAGGTCCTGCAAACAGGTTTCCACCTCACAACTGAATACCAGGACCACCCACCACACATGAGCTAAAGAGGCCAGGTTCCTCTTCTGCATAAGGTGTGAATTCCTGGTGGCTCCACCCCATTCCCCCAGTGCATGTGGGCCTCCATTCCACTGCTGGCATGTCCAGGCAAGACCCTGTGCAGGTTCCCTTAACTGCACAAAACATCTGGTGTAGACACTTGTGGGGCTGGTTGGAGATTCTCCAGGGACCCTTCCGAATCCACCTAGGCATTTTGCTGTCTCCTCCTAATATAGTATCTGTACTTAATTTCTTCTTATTGCTGAGTAATACTCCATTGTATGGATACATCAAACATTTTATTTATCCATTCATCAGATGAATGGACTTTTGGGTTCTTTCCCACCCAAAGGTTATGGACCTTTGGGTTCTTTCCACTCTTTGACTCCTATTAATAATGCCACTGTAAATGTTTATGTATGAATTTCTGTGTTTGCATTTGTTTTTATTTTTCTGGAGTATATACTTATGACTGGAATTTCTGGGTCATATGGTAACTTCATGCTTAACCTTTTGAGGAGTTGCCAGTTTGTTTTCCAAAGTGACTGCACCACTTTACATCCCCAGCAGCACTGGATAAGAGTTTTAATGTCTTTACATTTTTCCTAACACTTACTTTCTCTTTTTTATTGAACAAATATTTCATCCTGTGTCGTGAAGTGATACCACAAGGTGGTTTTGATTTACATTTTCCTAACGACTAATTGTATTAAGCATCTATTAATGTGCTTATTATTCATCTTTATGTCTTCTTTGTAGAAATATGTATTCAAAATCTTTGCCCATTTTAAAAATTTTATCTTGTTATTTATGAATTGCAAGGGTTCTTCATATATATATCCTATATATGTAAGTCCCTTATCAGATATATGCTTTTCAAATATTTTTTCTGTTCAGTGGCTTGCCTTTTCACTTCTTGATACTGTCTTCTCAAGAACAGAAGTTTTCAATTTTGAAGTCCATTGAATCCATTTTTTTTTGGAGTCATATGCAGTCACAAAGATTTATGCCAATGTTTTCTTCTCAGAGTTTTATAGTTTTAGCTGTTACAGTTAATTGTTTTATTTCAAGTTTATTTTTAAATATGATATTTGGTGAGAGTCCAACTTTATTTTTTGCATATGGATGCCCAGTTGTCCCAGCACTGTTTGTTGAAAGGACTATTCTTTTCCCATTTTGTTCTTTTGTTAGCCTCGTATAAAATCAATTGATTGTAAATGTGCAGGTTTATTTTTAGATTATCAATTCTTAGTTTGTTTACGTCTATTCTTATACTAGGCCAAATCAAATTTAATGAGAGGTTTTTTCCAATCATGTTGCATATTACCAGTTGTTTAATGTCGTAATAAAAATTAAATGTAGTGGAATATCTTTAATGTCACCCTTTGTGTCTCAAAGGAGTCTGTGGCCAGCTTATACCTTACTTATTCTAAGACATGATGGGAAGTCTGGCTTATAATACAGTTTATTTCTTTTTTTTCTCCATTCAAACCTTTAATCTCTTATCTAGTGCCTCCCTCTATAGTTTTATTTTCAGTAAATTTTGGTCCCAGAATGTGCTGACATAGTCTACTATATAGTGCATTATGTTTTACTAACTCATTATAATTCATAGAATCTTTCATAGATGTTTACCATCCAGGAAGTCTGAGCTCCCAGCTTTCCTCAGTGGAAACCAAGTGAAGTCACCATCTTTCAGCTCGCAGATCCTCTTTCCACCTGGTAGCTGGTTTTCTTGTGTAGCACTGTGGCTAATTATATTATTGGTGTAGATCTTGCATTCTCAGAAACCACAGTTCCCTGTGTTGACCTTTTTTCACTGAAACAGAGATGCACAGCTCTGCCTTCCAGCTCAGTAGAAGATTCTTGGAATAAACAGTTTAGTGCGTTCCAAGAAAATCATCACCCACGTGTTTGATGTTGATGCTTGCCACTGGCTGGAACCTTGGTTGGGGCAGACAGCATGAACACTGACACTGACACTCCTAAAGTTTTAGGAGTGCAGCACTTAAAAATCAGGTAATGTTCAGGCAATTTATCAGAGACAAATAGTGGATTAGTATTTTGAATTTCAAAATTTCAGAGTCAAGTTATGTGTTATAGAGAAGCATTGTGGTATAACATAGAGATGGGATGGTCTTAACTTCTCCATACAAACAAGCTTGAAGTAAGGTAAAGAAGAAATTGCATATGATTTCTTAACCCTCAAAGCACACTGTGTTTATTTTACTTCTGTGAAGATTAAAAATAATTCCATAATGCTCTCCTTATTTCCTCACCAAGAAAAGGAAAATGAAAATTGAATACTAGATTGCTTAATAAATACTCAAAGCTTCTTCTTTTAGAATTTTCATTAATTGAAATCAGGTAAATGATTTTGGTTATGTAACCAAGTATTTCTAGTTGTTTTTCAAATCATGTATCTTCTTGCTTTCCAGTCTTATTTCCTAACTTGAGGGGAAATTGTAAGGAGACACCTTGTTATCAGAGTTCATAACTGAAGGGAGTTTTAGGAAAAGTTCCTCCAAAATTTACTGAAAATAAAACTATAGAGGGAGGCACTAGATAAGAGACTAAAGGTTTGAATGGAGGAAAAAAAGAAATAAACTGTGTCTTATAAGTCTGACTTCCCATCATATCTTAGAATAAGTAAGGTATAAGCTGGCCACAGACCCCTTTGAGACACAAAGGGTGAAGTTAAAGATATTCCACTACATTTAATTTTTATTATGACATTTAAAAACTGGTAATTGTTTTTTTTAAACAAGTTTTTTTAAAACTTATTTTTCTAACCATTACCCAGAGTTTGTGGCTTAAAAGAAAAACATTTATGTTGTTCATAAACCTGTGGTTTGGAAAAAGTTCTGCCAGGACAGCTTGTCTGCTCCCCTCAGCTTCCCTAGGAACAGCTGATCAGTTGGGGAAATGGATCGTCTGAAGCTTTGCTCACCCACGTGTTTGCTGTTGATGCTGGCCATTGGCTGGAACCTTGGTGGGGGCAGGCAGCATGAACACTGACACTGGCACTCTCGGGCTCTCTTTGAGGCCTGAGCTCTCTCACAATCTGGGGGCTGGGTTCAAAGGGAAAGCAACCTGAGATAGAAGAAGCTACATGGTATCCCTTTTACTGAATTCTATTCATTAGAAGGAAGCCAGTAAGGTTGACCCATATTCTCTTTTTTTAATGGGATGAATATAGGTTCTCTTTTGTTTTAATTAACATGTATACACATAATTATAGGCTATAGAGTGATATTTTGATTCATGTATATAGTGTGTAATGATCAAGCTAACTAGCATATTTACTACTTTAACCATTTTTCATTTCTTTGCATTGTGAACATTCAAAATCTTCTAGCTTGTTAAAAATATACAATAAATCATAGTTAACCATATTCACCCTACAATGCCACAGAACACCAGAACCTATTCCTCTCATCTATTCTGTAACCATTAACCAGCCTCCCCTTTCCTACTTCTCTGAGCTTTTTTCTTCTTGTTAAGAGACAAGGTCTTGCTAGTGTAGTCTGGGCTCTGGGAACTGTAGTCACCCAGACTAGAGACAGTGGCTTGATCGTAGCTCACTGCAGCCTCAAACTCTTGAGCTTATGTGATCCTCCCACCTCAGCCTCCCACCTCCACCTCAGCAGCTAGGATTATGGGCATGCACCATTGCAACTGTCTGATTTTTTACTTTGTAGAGATGTCTCCCTATGTTGTCCAGGGTGCTCTGGAACTTTTGGCCTCAAGTGATTCTCCTGCCTTGGTCTTTCAAAGTGCTAGAAAATTACAGGCATCAGCCATGTTGCCCAGACCTCAATTTTTCTTTAGCTCCCACACATGAGTGAGAATATGCAGTATTTATTTTTCTGTGTCTGCACTTAACATAACATCCTCCAGATTGATCCACATGGCCACGGATAACAAGATTTCATTCCTTTATATGGTGAATAGTATTCCATTGTGTATGTGTACCACAATTTTTTGTTCATTAATTTGTTGATGGATATGTAGGTTGATTCCATACATTAGCTGTTGTGAATAGTGCTACAATAAACATATGAGTACAGATATTGTTTTGACCTATTATTTTCTTTTCTGTTGCCTGAATGCCCAGTAGTGGGGTGGCTGGATCCCTCGGCGGTTCCATTATTAGTTTTTTGAGAAAACCTCATGTTGTTTTCTATAGTGTCTGCACTAATTTACCTTCCTACCAACAGCATATAAGAGTTTAGTGTTCTCTGAAACTTCCCAGCATTTGTTATTTTTTGTCTTTCCAATGATAGCCATTTATTCAAACTGGAGCAAGATTATATCACGTTGTAGGTTATTATAATTATAATTGCTTACAACAGGCATGCTCTCACACATCTTCAGTGTTAACACACTGTTTAGTGGGTAATTTGGTTTACTCTCAGGGCAACTTTTTAAAAAATGCAAGTCATTAAGAGTTATTTAAGGAAAAGTGAAATACTAAGCATTTGTCTTTGCTATCTTTACAGATCAAATATGAAAATAGCAGTGATCAGCACCAAGCTCCTTATGGAGAAAGAGCATGTGAAATCTTTTCTTAGCACTCTTCCTATGAGGCCAGGACTCAACAGAAAATACATTCCTCAAACACCCATAAGAATTCCTATTTCAAACCCACAGACTTCAAATAACTGCAAGAACTACTTCACTGAGGTTAGTTATATGATCGTTTCTCTTTTGGCTTTCATTTCTCTAATATAATTCTTGTTTTTAATTTGGTGAAATACTGAGTTCTTCTGTTGACTTATGCATGTTAAGTAAAGATCATAATTAGCTGTGTTAACACAGAAAGGAAATGGGAACTTTACATTTTTTAATTCCCTGGAGCTCTCATTTTCAACAGATACCCATTTGCTAACTTTATTCAATAAATGTGACTAAACTAACACACTAAAATTTCTTTAAAAGCTGCATTTAAGTTTTAGAAATTGCATGTTATCGCCTAATAACTGAAGGTATGCTTTGAGATGCTTTGGTGTACTCTCTAATTCATTGTAATTTGACTTTGGTTCATACCACTTCTTTTGTTCTGTTTTGTTTTGCTTTTGCTTTTGAGACAGAGTCTCACTCTGTTGCCCAGCCTGGAGTGCAGTGGTATGATCTTGGCTCACTGCAACCTCTGCCTCCCGGGTTCAAGCGATTCCTCTGACTCAGCCTCCAAAGTAGCTGGGGCTAGAGGCGCCCATCACCATGCCCAGCTAATTTTTGTATTTTTACTAGAGACGGGGTTTCACCATACTGGCCAGGCTGGTCTCAAACTCCTGACCTTGTGATTCTCCCACCTCAGCCTCCGAAAGTGCTGACATTGCAGGCATGAGCCACTGCTCCCAGTCCATACCACTTTTAAAGTTTCTTTGCACCAGCCGGGCGCAGTGGCTCACACCTGTAATCCCAGCACTTTGGGAGGCCAAGGCAGGTGGATCACGAGGTCAGGAGTTTAAGACCAGCCTGCCCAAGATGGTGAAACCTTGCCTCTACTAAAAACACACACACAAAATAATAATAATAATAATAAAATTGGCCTGGTATGGTGGCAGGAGCCTGTAATGCCTGTTACTAGGGAGGCTGAGGCAGAGAACTGCTTGAACCCAGGAGGTGGAGGCTGCAGTGGGCCGAGATTGTGCCACTGCACTCCAGCCTGGGTGACAGGGTGAGACTCTGTCTCAAAAATAAAAAATAAAAAAGTTTCTTTGCACCATCTCAACTCTTCCTACCTATAATCACAAGTGAATGACTGGCATCCAAACACTTAACCGTATATGAATGTTTATTATTTAATAGAATCCAAAATAAGTGCACTTTATGAATTAAACAAAACACTAAAATATTCATTTCCATCTGTATGTTAAAAACTTTGTACTTGGCCAGATGCAGTGGCTCACGCCTGTAATCCCAGCATTTTGGGAGGCCGGGGTGGGCGGATCATTTGAGGTCAGGAGCTTGAGACCAGCCTGGCCAACATGATGAAAACCTGTCTCTATTAAAAATACAAAAATTAGCAAGGCTTGGTGGCAGGCATGTGTAATTCCAGCTACTGGGGAGGCTGAGGCAGGAGAATCACTAGAACCCAGGAGGCAGAGGTTGCAGTGAGCCAAGATCGTACCACTGCACTATAGCCTGGGTGACAGAGGGAGACTCCATCTCAGAAAAAGAAAAAAGCATTTTGCTTTTCTTACATAAGAGTGCATCCTCTGACTATAAAAATCCTGGAAGAAAACCTAGGAAATACTCTTCTGGACATCACACTTGTCAATTAATTTATGGCTAAGTCCTCAAAAGCAATTGCAAGAATAACAAAAATTGACAAGTATGATCTAAATAAGCTAAAGAGCTTCTGCACAGCATGAGAAACTATCAAGGGATTAAACAGACAGCCTAAAGAATGGAAGAAAATATTCACAAACTATGCATACAGCAAAGTCCTATTATCCAAAATCCATAAGGGACCTAAATAAATCAACAAGCAAAAAATAAATAACACCATTAAAAATGGGCAAAGGACATGAACAAACACTTCCCAAAAGAACACATATAAGTGGCCAACAAACATTAACAAACGCTTACTATTGCTAATCATCAGAGAAATACCAAACAAAACATCAATGGGATACCATCTCACACCAGTCAGAACGACTTTTGTTAAAAAGTCAAAAAAAAAAAAAAAATGTTGGGGAGGCTGTGGAGAAACGGAAACACACACCATTGGTGACAATGTAAATTAGTTCAGCTACTATGGAGAGCAGTTTGGAAATTAAGTACTAAGAACTGGATGCAGCAACCCCATTACTATAGTAGGGGTATACCTAAAGGAAAATAAATCATTGTAACAAAAAGACGCATGCACATGTATGTTCATTGCAGCACTATTCAAAATAGTAAAGACATGGAGTCAATCTAGGTGCATCCAAGGTAGATTGAAAACCCAAGGTAGACTGGAAAATTTTACATATACCATGGAATACTATGCAGCAATAAAAAGAACAAAATCATGTCCCTTACAGCAACATGGATACAGCTGGAATCCACTATCATAAGCAAACTAACGTGGAAACCGAAACCAAATATCTCATGTTTTCACTCATATGTGGGAGCTACACATTGGGTGTACACTGTCATAAACATGGGAACAATAGACACTGAGAAATAAGAACAGGGAGGGACAGAGTGGGCCAGGGTTGAAAAACTACTTATTGGGTCCTGTGCTCACTACCTGTGTGATGGGTTCAATCGTACCCCAAACCTCAGCATCCCTCAATATACCTTTGGAAGAACCTGTGCAGCTACCACCTTAATTTAGAATACAAACTAGAAAAAAAATTTTACTATAAAAAAAAAAAAGTTTACTATAAGTAGAGAATAGAAATTTCTTTTAAAGAAAAAATTTATTGAAGTAAAAAATGGATTGAATTTTTTTATTATACTTTTAAGTTCTAGGGTACATGTGCACAATGTGCAGGTTTGTTACATATGTACACATGTGCCATGTTGGTTTGCTGCACCCATTAACTCGTCATTTACATTAGGTATATCTCCTAATGCTATCCCTCCTCCCTATCCCCTCCCCACAATAGGCCCCGGTGTGTGATGTTCCCCTTCCTGTGTCTAAGTGATCTCATTGTTCAATTCCCACCTATGAGTGAGAACATGTGGTGTTTGGTTTTCTGTTCTTGCGATAGTTTGCTGAGGATGGTTTCCAGCTACATCCACATCCCTACAAAGGACACAAACTCATCCTTTTTTATGGCTGCATAGTATTCCATGGTGTATATGTGCCGTATTTTCTTAATCCAGTCTGTCATGGATGGATATTTGGGTTGATTCCAAGTCTTTGCTATTGTGAATACTGCTGCAATAAACATACATGTGCATGTGTCTTTATAGCAGCATGATTTATAATCCTTTGGGTATATACCCAGTAATGGATGGCTGGGTCAAATGGTATTTCCAGTTCTAGATCCTTGAGGAATCGCCACACTGTTTTCCATAATGGTTGAACTAGTTTACAATCCCACCAACAGTGTAAAAGTGTTCCTATTTCTCCACATCCTCTCCAGCACCTGTTGTTTCCTGACTTTTTAATGATTGCCATTCTAACTGGTGTGAGATGGTATCTCATTGTGGTTTTGATTTGCATTTCTCTGATGGCCAGTGATGATGAGCATTTTTTCATGTGTCTGTTGGCTGTATGAATGTCTTCTTTTGAGAAGTGTCTGTTCATATCCTTTGCCCACTTTTTGATGGAATTGTTTTTTTCTTGTAAATTTGTTTGAGTTCTTTGTAGGTTCTAGATATTAGCCCTTTGTCAGATGAGTAGAATGCAAAAAATTTCTCCCATTCTGTAGGTTGCCTGTTCACTCTGATGGTAGTTTCTTTTGCTGTACAAAAGCTCTTTAGTTTAATTAGATTCCATTTGTCAATTTTAGCTTTTGTTGCCATTGCTTTTGGTGTTTTAGACATGAAGTCCTTGCCCATGCCTATGTCCTGAATGGTATTACCTAGGTTTTCTTCTAGGGTTTTCATGGTATTAGGTCTAACATTTAAGTCTCTAATCCATCTTGAATTAATTTTCGTATAAGGAGTAAGGAAAGGATCCAGTTTCAGCTTTCTACTGATGGCTAGCCAATTTTCCCAGCATCATTTATTAAATAGGGAATCCTTTCCCCATTTCTTGTTTTTCTCAGATTTGTCAAAGATCAGATGGCTGTAGATGTGTGGTATTATTTCTAAGGGCTCTGTTCTGTTCCATTGGTCTGTATCTCTGTTTTGGTACCAGTACCATGCTGTTTTGGTTGCTGTAGCCTTGTAGTATAGTTTGAAGTCAGATAGCGTGATGCTTCCAACTTTGTTCTTTTGGCTTAGGATTGTCTTGGCAATGTGGGGTCTTTTTGGTTCCATATGAACTTTAGTTTTTTTT